GTATACCATTCGTCGTAGATAAGTGCATCTCGTATATGGTAGAAGGATCAAACTAAACACATACTAAAAACTGGAGTAGATGTAAAAGATCGACATCACACGATAGGTAAATAATGGATCTTAGTACTGCAGAAAAATAATGTCAAAAGGTACTGGTTTAAAAAAATTAAGATTAAAGTTAATTAATCAACCTTTAAGGTATAAAATGTGGTAGGTGTTATTATTAATAAAATAGTTTGTTTTATTTACCTATGTTGTTTTATTTATTCCTGTGGAATATTACAAATTTGTATTTGTACATAAGTTATATTGATAAATATAATTATAAATGCGGGTAGTTTTATAAAGCTTGAAAGTAAATAATAGTTCTTTTTTATATTTTTTTGGTATGTAGTGTCTTGTTCTTGTTTGTTTTGATACATACACATACCGTTTTTATTAAATAAAATAACTCGATTACATTTTTTCAGTTTTATACAGTTTTTTTCACAATATTTTGAAGTAACCACTTGTCATCTTGTCAATAAAATTTTAAATATATCCTGCTATGCGTTCCAGTTGTACCAACTTATTTCTTTGTAAAATACAATAAACTACTTTGAAATTAAAATGACAGACACATCTATCACTGTCAAGGATTTTCTCGTTGGACAGACTATACTTAAAAATAATGTTTACTCAATATAAAAATAAAATAAAGCCTTATTCTAAAGTCTAACTGAGAGTAAGCTCCATAAAAAAAATAGGAAGAATACGGGCCAAGTAAATAACATCATTATTATTGATTGTCATTCTCAGCCCTCCTTGACGCCGTTTTTTTTTTCTATCGCATGGTATTTTACAGTACAACTGAGCAAAAACCTGAATTGACTAAAATTGATTTACCTACACTACATTTTTACTGTTTTACGGTAAACGTTCTGTTATAAATTAAGTCGAACATTTTGTTCACAATTTTTTTATTTTTCTGATAAATCTGAATTAGATAATTAGTAAATCAAAGTCAGGAGCAACAGTATTTATAGAAAAATGTATTTAATATATTTCTGAATCTAATGAAACAAGTTTAATAATAGTTTATGTCTGTTTCCGTTGGAAGCATGTATCTAGAATCTAGATATATATATTTTTATATTTCCTATGAGTAACGTTAGCATAGTTTAGTAGATTGCAGCTGGTTGGATTACTTAGTAAATTATTAGTCTGCAAAGCCTATTTTCATAAAATGGCATTCTCTTTCAGTAGATTTTTAGCCGACCATACCAACAGGTAGGTATGGTAGCCTATTAAGATCGGCAAAAAAAAGTTTTTTTAATTTCATTCAAAATGAGTTATTTGGGTCATAAATGACCTAAATACAGAATATTTTCATGGTGTCTGTCTGTATGTCTGTCTACCTGTATGTCTGTCTGTCCGTCTGTCCGTCTGTAACAAGAATACTGTGGCACCCGAGAATCTGGCCATTAGTTTTTGGTTGGGGGGGGGTTGTTAAGGGGGTATGGGAGGGGGTTAAAAATTTAAAAAAATCGTAACTCCAAAATTACAGTAGATAGCGAAACACGGTTTTCAATTTAAGATTAGGAATAATATTTGCAACAAAATTTGTAATAACATCAAAATCAGTCAAAGTCGCAGTTTTTGAAATATTCCGTGTTTCCGTAGTCCGTTTTTGAAAAACTCCAAACTCCCATCGGACGCGACCCCAGGTGGCAGATAGAGGAAATAACCGCTGACCAAAATTGGAAAAATTCCTTTACTTTGAAACTAAAAGAACTGCCTACCAACTTTTTATTAACATATTTTAGTATAGGCGGCTATACGTGCGTCCCGGCGCCAATTTTTATTTATCAAAGTCAAAAATCATTTTTATTATCACATTTTAGAAAAAAAAATGTTATGCGATATGAATTCATAGAGAACATAGATATTTTGGAATTTGATATTTTTCAATAGATTGACATCTAACCCAATTTATTACATGTTCAAGAGCTCAAACGCACTGACGACCAGGTCGCAGCGACCAGCATTTGATTCAATGTCATTACTGGTCGCAGCTGCGTTTCCTAATAACATTTAATCAAATGGTGGTCGCTGCGGCCTGGTCGTAAGTGCCTTTGAGCTCTAAATCGCAGTTGAAATATCACATCTCTCCAAAAAAATCGAAAAAGTGCCATGTTTTTTCTAACATTATTTTAGTGAACATGAGTATATACAGGGTGGTCCGAATTGTATTCCGCAAACTTCGGAAGCATATTCTGCAGATAAAAATAAGTAAAAAAGTTCGTATAAATGTAGGTCCTAAAATGCTTAGTTTCGGAGATACAGGGTGTAGAAGTTTCATTTTTATTTCGATTTTTTCCAAATAATTTCTGAAGTAACATCTATATTTCAATGAAAATTGGTGTCTGGGAGTTTTTTGACATGAGAAATTTGATTTTGATGTTAATATGACTCCTACTAGTAGACTCCTACTAGTAGCGCCACCTACATATTTTTTAACCGGTTTGAAGTGTAATAACTTTTCGTCCGTACCTGTATAAAACTACCGAGCGAAAAAATATACGTCTCTGTGACTTTTTACGTAAAAAATTTCTCTTTGTAAAAATCGCTACGAACAACCGTTCTTAAGATATTTAGAATGGAAATAGTCAATGCATGTCATTATTGACGAAAAATAAACACGTTGAGTAGATGTATTTCACTGAAATAATAAATTTGGGAAATTTTTATTTTTTTTAAATTAATCATAAATTTTTCTGCAAAAATGATCATAAAAAAGTTTCTGTTGAACTTTTGGCACAAAAACATTTCAAATTTTTGCGATTACGGTCTAATAAGTATTTAGTCAACATGTTTAATTAATGTCAATAAAGACAGGTATTGATAATTTCGATTTCAAATATCTCGAAAACAATTACTCGTAGCGATTTTTACAAAAAGACCTTTTTTACGTAAAAAACGTCGCAAATGTATATTTTTTTACTCAGTAGTTTTACACAGGTACGGACGAAAAGTTATTACTCTTCAAACCGGTTAAAAAATATGTAGGTGGCGCCCTCTACTTGTAGGAGCCATATTGACGTCAAAATCAAATTTCTCATGTCAAAAAACTCCCAGGCACCAATTTTCATTCAAATATTGATGTTACTTCAGAAATTATTTGGAAAAAATCGAAATAAAAATGAAACTTCTACACCCTGTATCTCAAAAACTAAGCATTTTAGGACATACATTTATACGAATTTTTTTTAATTATTTTTATCTGCAGAATGTGCTGCCAAAGTTTCCGGAATACAGTTCGGACCACCCTGTATAAAGTACCTATTATTTTATTGCACAAAATAAAAAAGTAAAACTAAATTAATAATTATTAATGTATTTTCTTCCTTATTCTATTTAATAATAATAATAATAATAATAATATTTATTTATTTCCAAATTATGTTACAAAATAAACATAAAGAGAAATATCGTCAAACATCAAAATAAATATTCCAAAAAGCATATTACACATATTTTACAAAGATTAGATAAGTCTACTTACATAAACGGGAAAATATATAGAAAAATATACACCAAAATAAAAAAAATACACCTAAAATTTACAATATTGGATATAATTCAACAATATTTCCTTAATCCTAATTAACCATTGAAATTAAAAAATTCTGGCAAGCTATAAGGCTCTATATTTAATAAATACTTTTTTTAACTTAAATTTAAATTCGCTTAACTTTCCACAGAGTCTAAGTGTTAAGGGCAGTTCATTATAAAACTTTAAACACATATACAAAGGGCTTTTTTCCATTTTGACGTAATCGCAAGTTTATGAGCGGGATAGTTTAGTAAATTCTTTCTAGTATTGTACTGATGTATTATGTTACTCTCAAAACATTCTCTATTGATGTAAAAATATACTAAACATTTATAAATATATAATGCATATACTGTCATAATTTTTTCACTCTTAAAGATCCCTCTACACGATTCGTTGAAATTCATTTTTCTTACAGTGCGTATTACCCTTTTTTGTGTTACAAACAGTCGTTGTATTTTGCTGTTGCTGCCCCAAAATATTATCCCATAGCTCATGACGGACTGAAAATTGGAATAATACAGTGTTTTTAGTGTTCTCTCATCCATATATTTGCTTATTACCCTAATTGCATAGCACACTGAACCCAGCTTTTTCAAAAGATATTCTATATGATTACTCCAATCTAAATGCTCATCAATTATTATTCCTAAAAATTTCGTGTGGTCAGATATTAATATATTTTTAGTCGAATCATATATAAGTGGTCTATTTGTTCGTGACAATTTTGTTCGAAAAATGATGACATTTGTTTTATCGGAATTCAGAATTAAATTATTTTCATTGAACCATCTATATACATTATCGAATAAAATTTTGCTCTCGTCAATTAATTCGGGTAGGTGTTTTTTTCCAATTAACAGATTGGTATCATCAGCATAATTAATTATGCTTTGGTTTTGTCCATTTACTGCCAGATTTAAGTCATTTAGGAATAATAAAAACAAAACTGGACCCAATATACTACCCTGAGCTATACCGATGTTATTTGTGCGTATCTGGGATTTATATATTTTACCTTCATTGGTAATAGAAACTTGTTGTTTTCTGTTATTAAGATATGACTGTAGCCACTCGAGAGACTTCCCTCTAAATCCGTATCGTTCCAATTTTCTTAAGAGCAATTCTCGGTCAAGACAGTCGTAGGCTTTAGAGAGATCCAAAAATATCCCTAGTGCCAATTCCCCCACCTCCATAATAACAAATAATGTACAAAATTGTAAAAGATCAATATTAATTTAAGTGTAATGTTTTTTTTATCTGTGAGTATTTTGCCTCATAATTAATCGATCCTTATCTTAAGAAACCACTTAAAAAAACTTAAATTAACAATTATTTCTGATTATTAGATAACAATATTTACAAATTTTTATCTGACCTAAATCTTTGGTTATTGAATGTAAAATTAAGAACAAAATAAACATCAGGTCGTTTCAGTTTTTGCATGTTTCTCGTCTTCACTCCAAACAAAGTTTCGGCCAGTTTTTTGCTGTTTCTCCTCGCTGGATCTATCAAAAGTATCTGGTAGAGAACCATATAGTTTGAACTGGTCCATGGGAGCATCATTCAAGCCTCTGTATTGCAATTGTTCTTGAGGAATATATTCTTCATTATAAACTCTAAAAGAGTTAAGAAATAAATTGTAAATTCTCAAGAACTTAAACCTAATAAAATCAAACTACACTGAATCAAATCAATGAATTGGATAATAGTACGTTCACACTTAGAGACGTCGTCCGTAACTCCAGAGACAATAAATTACGACTCTTTTAAATTTCAAACGGAATTTCAGTCGAATCGAATAGTGTTCATTGGTACGTTTGTTAGAGTAAAATATGTAAACTAAAAACATAAACCATCTCTATTATGTGTACAGTGTGTCTTATTTTTGACTCTATGTGTATACCGGGTGTTGCATCGTCGGACGGGACATAGGAAATCCCATGTAAATTTTAATGGGGTCAATTATTGACTTCCCTAATTATTTTAGAGAATAATTCTATTTAGGTTTATTGAAGAGCACTAAAACCCACATTCAAAAGAATAAGTTTAGATATTTTTGATTAGCTCGTTTACGAGTTATCGCCGATTTCATTTTAAATATTTCTCCTTTCTTATGGCCCTGTATTTACTTATGAGCATCAGTCAAGGTAAAAGATAACTGTCAAATGAAGTTGTCATTTCAGAAATTTGCTGTATGATTTAGGCCAATAACGTTTCCGTTAAAACTATTGTCTAAATATTCCCGAACAGCCAGGGTACTATGTGCCGGGCAGCCATCCATTTGGTACCAAACGTCCTGATTTTCCCTAGCGGCATCATGTAAAGCAGGTAAAATATGATTTTCGAGTAGTTCCAAATAATATTCTGCATTTAAATTTCGCGTAAGAAATAATGGCCCGATAATATTGTGTCCGAATATCCCTACCCAAACATTTACTTTCTGTGGATATTGCGTCCTTGTTTCGACAAACCTGTGTTGGTTTTCTTTGTTCCAAAATCGATAATTTTAAACATTGGGTTCATTATTTAAGGTAAACGTGAATTCGTCAGTGAAACATATGTTTTTTAAAAATTCCCTATCCGTGTTTGCTCTTTCCATCATATCAAAACAAAACGCCTGCCGCCGTATTTCGTCCCCATCTCGTAGCTCGTGGTGCTTTTCATATTTGAAGGAATAGTATTTATGTCGTTTCAAAATTCGAAACGCTATAGTGTGATCTATTCCTATTTCATCCTCAAGTTTCCTTGTGCTGATCTTTCCATCGTTCTCTTCCACGCACAATAAAACTTCCAAGTCGGTATCATTTCTTGCATCTTCTCTTTGTTCCTGCCTTGCTTCACATCTGCAGTTATTTATTATGGTACCGTTGGTCTCAAATCTTTGGATATTTCTTGCGATTGTAGATTTTCCAGGTATCGGTCTATTCGCATACAGAGCAGCAAACATGTCCGACACCTTTTGATAACTATTTCCTTGATAATACCATTTAATCATCAATACTTTTTCTTTGGTAGTGTAATTCATGGCTAATATTTTCGATGTAGGTATGAGTTTTTAATAATAATAATAAAGCACTAAATAGATAAATTTCTGAAATGACAACTTCATTTGACAGTTATCTTTTACCTTGACTGGTGCTCATAAGTAAATACAGGGCCATAAGAAAGGGGAAATATTTAAAAAGAAATCGGCGATAACTCATAAACGGGCTAATCAAAAATATCTAAAGTTATTTTTTTGAATGTGGGTTTTAGTGCTCTTCAATAAACCTAAATAGAATTATTCTCTAAAATAATTAGGGAAGCCAATAATTGACCCCATTAAAATTTACATGGGATTTCCTATGTCCCGCTCGACGATGCAACACCCGGTATATTAATAGAGTAGATTTCAAAATTTATATTAACAAATTTTTATTCCTGCAACAACAAATTCTACAGTATTCTTACCCTTTGTAGTGGCTTCCAAACGTTGTCGGATGGTACTGAGCTCCGTTATGGTAATACTGTTCTGACGTTCCTCCCCCATAGCTATTTCCATAATTGAATAAAAGCGACCCTAGTCCCAAAGCACTACTAACAATCAAGGCAATTTTACTTAGAAGCACAGCTTTTTTGGCAATTAGAACTAGAGTTCCGAAAATGATGGGAAGTAATGTGCCTATATTGAATTTAAAACCAAGCAGCAGGGGAACCAGAAATTGCCTTGCAAGTAGTCTACCTATAAAAATAATTAAAAACAATGTATAAACATTATTTAAAATTAATATTAGTAGGTATTTTTATTTATTGAAGACTTTAATTAAAATAGGTAACTTAATAAATAAAGATTTTTTTTTAAAATTCACTATTTTATAAAAAATTTTAAGTTTTTTGCCATTTTTGGCATTTACTCTAGCAGAAATGGTTTTAAGTCTAGAAGTAGATGGTAGAACTAGGTAGTAAATCTCTACCATGTTCAATTTAAGCAACAATAACCTATACAATCTCTGGACTTAACACCATTTCTGCTAGACTTACTTTTAACAAAAATAATATGACATTTAATCTTGCATTTAATAATAGTGACATTGCAAAAACGATAAAGCATTTCACAGGTGTAATGAGAACTAAAAGCAAAGCCATTCTTTGCTAAATCGATATTAATTGTCACAGTTTTCTTCAAAAGGGAATATCTCCAAAGAAGAAGAAGAAGAAGAAGAAGAAATTTAGGTTTCAAGCCGGCATCAGCATCAAAGGCTATTGACCAGCGTATCACCTGCTATTTTAGTACGGTACAATATTTGACATTTTAGTAAACAACACGATTATAGACAGATTGTATATGTTAAGAGTACAGACATTGATTTCGTACACATAAAAAGTAAATGGTACAGACAACATAGAATAAATCAAAAAAACGTAAAAATATGCTTTAAACCAAAATGTAACTTTTTGGATACCTATGTTTTAGATATATATCCCGATCTTTCCAGAAAATCAAAAAGTTTTGGTTGCTCACTTGTAGAAAAAATAACTGACATGTCTGACGAAAGATTGCAGGCCTCTCTTAAGTTAATTAGCTGACTACATTTCTTAAAGATATGTTTGACAATTAAAGGATTATTGCATTTATCACATAGAGGTGGTGGTGGCAAAAATTGATGAGAAAACCTATGATGTCCTAACATGAGTCTGTTAATTACTACAGCATGGCGACGATCATAACTCGATGTGGAGAAACCACAGAAGAATGTCTTTTTGACATTCCAGAGTTTGTTAGGTTCTTCCAGAAGATCCCTCTCCAGTTGAACCAGGGATTTGCACAGTCGGGCGTTTTTTTTCGATTTTTTTGAAGAGACAACCCGTGGAATAAACTGATAACCTATCTGTATCGTTTAGACGTGCATTTTTAGCGTAATGATCAGCACTTTCATTACCGGTAATGCCCACATGGCTAGGGATCCACAATATAGATATATTGGAGCCTAGGCTAGTTGCCTTATGTTGCAAATCCATTATATGTGCTTCCAAAGGGTGTTGGGGTAAAGTTTTTCTATACATAGTAGAGCAGATTATGAATCCGAGCATATCAGCCAAGAAGCCCGAGGACAAGAAACAATCTCCAAAGATCTGTTGAGATTTGTTGTATCAAAAAACACACAATTGAGAAAATATAAAGAATTCACATAAGGTGTCTCAAACTATCCCCAAAATAACATCATTTTGATTTCTCTCGTATATTAGACAGATGGAAACTTAATAAAATAATACTAATTTAAAAAGGGCTAGAAAATCAAATCATTTTGCTACAAATTGCTTAAAAAATCATCGAAATCGGGCAACAAGAACAATAAATATTTAACTTTAAAAATACTTAAAAACGTTAAGGCGTTAGTTTATTTTTTTTTATAAAATCTATAAATTAAACCAAATGACTAAATTTATTTAACATTATTATTCTATGACCCACTTTGAAACAGGTATCTTCTAAATAGACATTTTTAAATAACAAAATATATCTTTGGAGATATTATTAATTTAATAATATTTAAACATTTTGAATCGTCAGGGAATTCATAAGACATATTTTTACCTAGATTAATATATTTTGTGAATTACACTTATTTATTTTTGCAATAAAGTATACTCGTAAATAGTAAACATATTCTTTCCACCTGCAATATTTTTTCTAAATTTTACACCGCCATCTACCTCTAACGTCCTATACTAAATGTATTTAGCAAGACAGGAAATTGCGTCTTCAAGTTCAAGGAAAATATCTCACTGCCGTCTTAAGAAATCTGATGAAAGTCATGGGTTCGACCTGCTGAAGAACAGCAGGAAATTCTTAAACGTCAAACCCAACTTTCTTGGAGTGTTCATAGATGGCAGTTAAGACATAAGAATTTAAATCGAACTTTTATAAAGCTAAATGTGGAATAAATTTCTGTACCTATGTTTTATTTAATTCATGAATGTTATTTTTTTATTCTTCTTTTAATGGTAGGAACAATTTATTTTATTAACTGTAATATAATTTTATTGTTATTTTGTCTATATAATTAATAGTAAATTAGTTTTTTATTGAAAACTATAATTGTTATCTTCTTCTATTTTACATACCGGGTGTATATTTTTGTTAAAGATTAAAAAATAAAACAAGAACAATAAGTATAAAAGCAATTATTTAATGTAGGGAAAAAAATATTTTTGTTACAAAAATTACGATATATAATATTAAATAGTTTTTTACGATATAGAGCATGGTTTGTGTGATGACAGAAATTTTATAGGAATTTACATTAGAATTTATGTTAACCGTCAAACTGAAAGAAAATTCCGTTACAATACGGACATAGATTGAGGTTTTGTGATTACAGAGATATACCGGGTGCGTCTCAAAAGTGGCTCACCCCTATAACTTTTTCACTTTTTCAGTTATAAAACCGAGATTTGGTATGTTAGTATATGACATAAATTAGGAATGATTGACGTATTCAATTGTTTTCGATCACTTCCTGTTTCACCGGAAATTACTACAACTTTTGATTTTGAAATGGCACCCTCGGTATTTCTTTTCCTTTATTCGATAGAAAATAACACTCTGAATAGAATGACATATCATATGTTAACTTTTAACATTTTCGCAAATGGTTTATTTGAAATTATAGCATGCGGTTCATAACAAAAATTTGACTGAAGTAGCAAGTGTTTGGTATCAAATTATTTGTAAAAAAATACCCTTTCCAGATATGCTAATGAGCCACCCTCGTTCCATTTGAAAAAATTGAGATATGATTAAAAATACAATTTGGGCATCTTTTAACCGGTCAGGACAAGACAGTAAAAACATTAGACTATCAAATCTAGTTTTCCAAACTCCTTGATAAAAAATTAGTGATTTTAACATAGCTATGGCCTCTAGGTTGAAACTTAAAATACGATTTTTTACGAGGGGGCAACCGCGATGGCAATATGGTGTACAAATCCGTGGCATTAGTGGCAATAATTGGCAATATTTGGCATTAGTTTTACATACTTACGTGTATTTTTGGCATTAGTATTGGCAGTACTATGGCACTTTTGGCATTAGTTTTGGCACTAATTGGCAGTATTTGGCATTAGTCCCATTTATTCGTATGTATTTTATGGCATTAATATTGGCATTAGTTTGGCATTAGTTTGGCATTAGTTTGGCATTAGTTTGGAATTAGTTAAATATATTTGCTGCATTAAAAATCAATTTTCAGATAAGTTCGTTTGTAAAAACAGATTTTAATACATAATTATAATTAATATATTAAATATACTTGTGTAAGGTGAAAGGTTAGTCAAAAATAAAATTAATAATCGTGTGCACCCTTATAATTTAATATAATGAAAATCTGACAACGGCGCATTATTCAATGTGATTTACATGCAATGCAGATTTTTGTAATCTGATGTTATTGTTTTTTTAATTAGACAATTATTAAGTGAAACATAATCAAAGTAAAGGCGAGAGTAAAGGAAACTTTGGTAAAGGAAAGTCGTTGTAATAATAAGTAGGTGTGTATACAGAGTATCCCAGGCTGAGTGTACATTAGAAGTTTCTAGAAAACTACAACATCTAGATCGGAGATTTTTTGCACATCATTGTTTCATCACGAGAGCTATCGATTAAAAATATTTTCAATATGGCGGCACTTCCGAAAATGCCGAAAGATGACGACAACTTTCTTATTTTAAATGGGTGCCCCCATTTTTTATTACATACTTAAATTCTCTGTAAAATTTTAGGAATTTTGATATTAAACTCTATACGTAGCATTAACCGTTTTTGAGAAAAAAAATATTTAAAATTTTTAGACGAAAAAAACTGCCTGACAAAAATATGTGTATAGCCTAAACGTCAAATTTAGTGATTACCACAGCCACTGTCCCATAAAGAGAGGATATGTGGCTATCTATTTCAAAAATTAAATTGTTCGAATATCATATAATAATGGCCATGCAGCTGTCATGGAATTGAGCGATTAAAAAATTATCATAAATATTTTTTTTTCAAATGGAAACCCACTTTTTTATTTCACTGGTGAAAAGGCTTTTCAATTCGTTTACAAACATGTTCTTATATCTAAAATAAATCGTTTTTAAATTATTTAAGACTTAGTTTTAAAGCGTATATTTTTCTTGATTTTAACCGGTAGCCTATGACTTTAAACGTCAAGTGATGTAAATCAATAGATTAGGCCATGTCCAAGAACAGTTAACCTAATAGTCCTGCTCATTCAGCCAAAAGTGTCCGCAAGGTGCATGCGAAAACTACTCGCTTTGTGACGTCATTGTAGCCCTTGTCATGGTTATTAGTCCTTATCCGGCAACCAATGATACATACACGTGCATTATTGGTTGCCGAATGCAAAACGTTCATTATTTAGTTTATTTATTTAAACACCTTATATGTATGCAGTATAGAAAATTAACTGTATAAATCGTATTAAATACTCTTTTAAGAACAGCAGTTCCCAGCATCACCTTTTGCAAGCATTCTTTTTAGAGTACTTCAATATTTTGCTTTAAAATAATTAATAAACAATATCGTATGCACTTAGTAAGCACTTTGTCACAATCCACAACACAAAATGAACGTATTTATGGTGACGCATTTTCAAAAATCTGAAAGGCGCATATTTATGATCCCACAAAACTGCAATTCTTTCCCCATTTAACCGAATCTCTATATAGTAGTTTCCAAGA